AGAGACGAACAAGGACTTAAGTTTTCAAAATGGGAATCTGGTAAACAGGGAGAATTGGTATGTAATGTGCAATTAGCCTTAAACACCTATTTTTAATATCATTAATGTTTTTTTATTAATCATAGAAACCCATCGATACTGTAACGCATAGTTGAAGTTTATTTAAAAATTTATATAGCATGTAAATCAACCAATAAAATTAAGGGGAATTTAAGGGCCTAATATTTGAAAAAATATTACTTTAAGGTCCCGAAACTCAGATCCGTGGCTTTACAGCTGTTTTCATCAATTATGGGGCACATGAAAAAAATCGCTCCTTCCCGAAATCTTCTCGATCCTGTTCTTAGAACTTTGATCCGGAGACAGCAACGTAGTTCCAAAAAATTAGGTAATTTTTAGGGTGGGATCGAGGAAATTTCAGAAATGAGCAATTCTTTGAGGTGTCCCAGAATTTATAAAACAGCTTAATCAATAATTATAATAATGACCCGAAACGTTATTAATAACTATTATTAAACGTATAAGAAATGTAATGATCGATTGTATATTTAAGCGAGGATGACTATAACCAGTAACATTTATCTCTTTATCATAATAAATTAGTATTAAAAAGATAACTATAACGAATATATTTGGCAATTCTATAGTCGTGATCTCGCTTTTCGCGTTGGCATATAACCGCCGGACCTGTTTATGAGGCTGTTGTGGCACAACGATCCTTTGATCTCATTTTTTCAACTAACAAAATTAGGACTTGATATATAATTATTTTCAGGTAGAGTCCTTATTTCAAAAAAAAGTTATACTACCAGTAATCAACTAATTTTAATTTGATCATCTGATCAGCAGCAATTAAACAGCCAATAAAAACAAATTTCAACACCATGTTTTTTGGGGTTAACAAAACCAATTCTTAAATTTTGGAAACAAGAATATCCTATACGTACTCTAATTACTTTATAGCAAACTACGCATTTTTATGTCAAATTTAAAAATTAATTAATCGTTTAATTAATTTTTTGAATATAATAATCAAATTTTCAATTCAACTGTCCATAAAACAGGCGAATCGGTTTCGATCATTACAATATCATTAATTAAATGATTAGATGTGCTGATCATCTCACCGAAAGAGGTAGAACTATTTGCTAAATAAAATTAAATATAGATTTTTAATGAAACTCGTGATTGCATGACATAAACGAAAAAAATCTACATACTAAGATTCCATTCTAATCCAGTCGTTGTAACGATAGCTCTTTCGATACCAATAGGTATTATTCCATGCTTATATAATAAGGTGATACAAAAATGATTTGCAATCAAATTTAACAATTCAACCTTTTAAATAATCGAGTAAATGTCCGCCCCTGTAAAAGGAATTTGCTTTTGGTCAATCACAAAGTTTCTAACTAGAACTGTGAAATGCTTTAATGAACCTCCTTATGATCTCATAATTTTAAATCAACCTATTTCTCTTCGAAAAAATATTTTCCATACACTATGGGAAAATGGTATGTTAACCCGAACTTTATCAAGTTCAAAATCATATATATTCTATTCATTATTTTTTTTTTATATTTATAAGCAAATATGAAGATTTGTGCTGACGGTGGTGGAAATCAACTTTATGATGCTTTTGAGGGAACTGACAAGTTGGTGAACATTAATATAATTTACTTAATTATAAAATATCATGGTGTTTAAAAAAATATGACACCTTATAGATATATTCCTCACTATATCAGAGGAGACTTGGATTCTTTGAGAGATAATGTCCGAGATTTTTATATTTCTAAAGTAAGCCAACTTTTGATCCATTCTATTAGTAAATATATTACTGAAAATAAAAGCTATTGATAAGGGCACTGAGGTTGAAAGGGATCAGGATCAAAATTCCACTGATTTTATGAAATGTATTGAACTTGTTCGCAGAAAGGAAGGAGATTCTTCCATAAAGGTATTATTAATTTGAA